AGAATATCCTCTTTGTGGATGTATCTGAGCCCAGTGAGTATCTAGGAGGACCACCGAGGGCTACTGGTGATCCCGTGTTGAAACAGTTGTGTAAATATCAATCCTCCAGGTAACGTGAAAGTTATCGACTTCGGCTTGGCAGAACTATTCGGCGTGAACGTTGAGAAAAGCATGAATGTGAGTGTTGTTGTTGTTGTCGGTTGAATGAGGGTGCCTCCACAGGTCGCAGGGACTGCCTTCTACATGGCACCTGAGATCTTCCGTCCACCCTTCGACTACAAATGTGATATCTGGAGCCTCGGTGTGATACTGTACGGACTACCATAACTCCCTCTTTGGACAACTCTCAATCAGCTACCTCCTTCTTACCGGTTACCTGCCCTTCTTCGGCACAAGTGTCAGCGATGTGAAGTCGAATGTGATGAAGGATACAGTAGAGGTGCAGTAGAGAATGAAGATTAGGTTTTGTATAAGAGGGTTCAATGGCCTGACACTGTTTGCAATTCGTCGAGGAGGTTGAGAGTATCCAAGGCAGCGCGGGATTTGGTAAATGGAGGGAGTCTAAAGTTTATAATCATTTCCGACAGGTTGAAAAGATGCTCGTTAAGGATCCGTTACAGAGAGAGAGCGCCGCTGATCTGCTCAAACATCGTTGGTTGAGGAAGTTCTCTTCAGAGAATTGTTGGATGAATGTAACAGCGGAGCGATGCAATCCCTGATAGCCCCACTGTGATTCCAGGGAGTTCGGCTCCTTTCTGGTGGGGTGGTGGATTGTATATGCTACTATGCGCGACAAAGTGAACTGAAGAAAGCAATCATCAACCTCATCGCTCATCAATGGTCATTTCAAGAACAAGAACATGTGAAAGCCTCTCTTTGCACGGCGGCTGCTCTTCCTTGTTATCCCCTCGTGGTTAGGTTAGGTCATTGTTCACCGATCTGGATTCGGAGGCTCGGGGCTGCCTGCCGGTGTCGAGAGTGGCTGAGGCATTACGGCAATCTCAGGTTAAAATGAGCGCCTCTGATGCATGGAGAGTAGCTTCTGCCATGGATCGAACCGGGGATGGTAGGTGGGGTGATCGCCCTTTTGTCTACTCTACCAGTTGAACTACATATTGGCAGGGTACATCGGTTACACGGAGTTTGTTGGGGCGTGCATCATTCGTGAGTACTAAAGAAGTGATAAGCTATGTTACACAGCCGATGACAGGGAGGTTGCAACGCGAGGAAGGCGTGATAAAGGCAGCATTCCGATCTTTCACACCGAGGTCCTCTTCCCCTACAGTAGACGAGGTAGCGGTTAGCTTGTGGGCAGTACTATCTGGTGAAAGGTAATACTCGATAGGAGGGATGCTGGAGAGGTAGCTATTCAGATGTGCCTTGACGGATTATTCAGATGAACCAGATGATTGCGATAGACGAGCCCAGTGAGTGTAGGTCCAATGTGATGTAGCTATCATTGCCTTGTGATAGGAGCAGTACCAGCACGACCCCGTCTTCCAT